AATTCTTAGATATTTTTGAAGGAATTATACGATTTTTGTACATTTCTAGTTCTTCTCTTTTTTTCAGAGAGTTTTCTAAAGAAAGAGAAAAAGCTAAAGCTCGTGGAGATTTTCAAAAATTACGCGAAAAACAACAATTGGAAGAAGATCTTCGTGGTTATTTAGATTGGATAACGCAAGCGGGTCAGATTTTAATATTTTGATTTAAGGCCACATAATAAATTAAAAATCATACCATAGATGTTTCTGAATTTTCAAGCATGCTAATAAATTTCTCTTCTACAAGCATTTTATTAGCAAACAATATAAAAGGTTAATCATTACTTGTATGCTTATTGATGGGAAAGAATTTAAGTGAAAATCAACAGTATTGTTGTGAAGGATACAAGGATTACAAGGAACCTGTCTACAACCAGAGTCTTGGCTAAACCTCGTGACCTTATGTTTACATGGGTTATCTGTACCCAATTACATCATGGTTGATGCAATAATGAGGGAATAATTCCTGATGACTGTGTGACAGTGAAACATTAACGTTAATAAATATGCTAGTAGTATTGTTAACTGTAACTATGATATTTCAGATGATATTGATCCAGAATGTGACGAAGAAGGTGAAGAGGTTATAGCTACACCTAGACATAGTAAGTATCAGATATATATATATATATATATATATATCTTTGTTAATAAATATATATATATATACTTCACTATATAGTAGCCAGGATACCTCACTATATAGTAGCCAGGATACTTCACTATATAGTGGCCAGGATACCTCACTATATAGTAGCCAGGATACCTCACTATATAGTGGCCAGGATACCTCACTATATAGTAGCCAGGATACCTCACTATATAGTAGCCAGGATACCTCACTATATAGTAGCCAGGATACCTCACTATATAGTAGCCAGGATACTTCACTATATAGTAGCCAGGATACTTCACTATATAGTGGCCAGGATACCTCACTATATAGTAGCCAGGATACCTCACTATATAGTGGCCAGGATACCCCACTATTTTATAGCCACGGAGAGGTGGTGTGAGTAGCATCATCACTATATTTCCCAATATTCACCAGATGCTACTGCTACTATTATCTCAAAATAATGACCTGTGTTCTATATCTATATCCAATGTTATTGTAGATA